GGTAACTAGCGCTGATCGAGATGAATGCACACGAACACCACGGGCTTGATGTTATGAGCGTGACAGGAAGTCAGCAGAATGTTGGAGGTTTGATTTCCGGTTAAAGCTGTGCCTCACTAATATCAATATCAACAAAACCTATCAGGGATAAACAGTGCGACTTGGTTGGTCAGAGCCGTGTGAATGATTTAAAAGCATGTCAATGTAATTTCTGTGCTATTTATTAATATTAATAAGTATATGCAAATGCTTGCCTCATAATAATTTAATATGCGATTAATAGGTGACTTTGACTGGATTTGTTCAGCACATTTCGATCTCATGTGTTTTTATTTTAACTACTGTGTGTTTTGTGAAACGTGCTCATTAATATGTAAATGCACTCATTAATATGTAAATGCGCTCATTAATATGTAAATGCGCTCATGATGTAATTCAGGCTTTATTTCTGTGTGTCAGTGATGTGTGAGCGCAGATGATGGAGGAACGCTTCTCTCTCTGAGCCAGAGCCGCATGAACCCGCCTGAACCTGGTCAGACTGAGCTTAATAAAGAATTACATGATCATTAATATTCAGTGCTGTGTTGCTGCGCTCATTGTATATTCATGTATTCTCTCTCAGGTTACATTCGGCTGAATCCATGCTTTCTGATGAACTTGACTCCAAGCCTGAGGTATTTTGCAGTGTGAGGAGGTTACAGATCCGCGCATGGTGTTTTTAATTACTTTAAATTGCAATTGTGATTTAAAATGCAATTTAAAAAAAAAATCCAGGTTGTCTGTGTTTGTAGGGCTGCACAGTTTGGCCAAAAGTTGTGATTATATTTACAGTTAGTCATTTAGCAGACGCTTTTATCCAAAGCGCCTTACAACTGGGGAATACATCAAGCGATTCTTCTTAAAGAGGCAAATACACACCGGAAGTGCTCGTCATACCACGTTTCAAGCATTGTTTAGATAAGTACAAGCTAGAAAGGGAAGGAATAAATAAAGAGAAAGACAAAGTTTTTTTATTTTTTATGATGAAGTCTAGTAGTGTTGAAAGAGATGAGTTTTCAGCTGTCGCTTGAAGATTGTCAGGGATTCAGCGTTCCGGATAGGGGTGGGAAGATCGTTCCACCAGCCAGGAGTGGTGAACGAGAATGTTCTGGAAAGTGATTTTGAGCCTCTCTGTGATGGAACCACGAGGCGTCGCTCACTAGCAGATCTCAGGCTTCTGAAGGGGATGTAAATTCGTAGTAGTGAGTGGAAGTAGGCGGGTGCTGAGCCTGTGGCTGTTCTATATGCAAGCATCAATGTCTTGAACTTGATTCGGGCCGCAACCGGCAGCCAGTGCAAGGAGATGAAGAGAGGTGTAACATGGGCTCTTTTGGGCTCGTTGAAGACCAGTCGTGCCGCTGCATTCTGAATCATTTGTAGAGGTTTGATTGTGCTTGATGGGAGTCCAGCCAGAAGAGCATTGCAGTAGTCCAGCCTAGAGATGACAAGGGCCTGGACAAGAAGTTGTGCAGCATGCTCCGTTAGAAAGGGCCTGATCTTTCTGATGTTGTGCAATGCAAACCTGCAAGATCGAGCGGTCTTTGAAGGTCAGCTGGTGATGAGAGATGGGTAGGTGAGGGAAGAGAGGAGGATACAACGGAGGAAAGATGTGAGGGGGAAAGCGAGCATAGGTTTCGTCTAAAAGTAAGCGGTATAGGGGTTGGTGGCACACAGGTAGGAAGATAAAGTTTAAATGTAATAAAGAAATGGTCAGAGATATGTAGGGGTTCTACCAAAATGTTGTCTGCAGTATAATTGCGTGTGTAAATGAAGTCAAGTTGGTTGCCTGATTTGTGCGTGCTTGTGGTGGTAAGTAGAGCCCGACCGATATGGGTTTTTTGGGACCGATACCGATATTAGGGAGTAAAAAAGGCCGATACCGATATATCGGCCGATATTCTTTGTGTATATTATAGTACAGTACCAGTCAAAAGTTTGGACACTTTCCCATTCGTGTGTCCAAACATTTGAATAGTACTATATATAGAGTACAGTATATACATAAACAGAATATATATACACAAACACATTTTTTGCAATGATCGCTCAAATGTGGTGATCAAACACTTATAATGGTGACAGAGATATGTAAGGGCTTTTAACAATTTAACAATAAACTTGCGACGAGTGCGATGCACAAAGTAACGGGGTGTTAGTTGTAACACACGTGGTTTGAA